GTCCACTGTTGGTTCAGTCCACCATACCTGCTTCCCCCATTTCGACATGCTGGCTCTGGATGACCCACTGGGGAGGTGTATTAGTTGGTTTTCATGCTGCTGATAAACACATGCCTGAGACTGGGTAATTTATAAAGAAAAAGAGGTTTAATGGACCGACAGTTCCATGTGGTTGGGGAGGCCTCACAATCATGGCGGAAGGCTTACATGGCAGCATACAAGAGAGAATGAGAGCCAAGTGAAAGGGGAAACCCTTTATAAAATCATCAGATCTTGTGAGACTTATTTACTACCACAAGAACAGTACGGGGGAAATCACCCTCATGATTCAATTATCTTCCACTGGGTTCCTCCCACAACACGTGGGAATTATGGGCGCTACAATTCAAGACGAGATTTGGATGGGGACACAGCTGAACCATATCAAGAGGAATGGGGGAGAACAAGAAGTTCCCACAGTGTCTGTTCACGTGCACAAAGAGACATGAAAAATCTTGTTGGGTGAACCCTGATCGCACCTTTGAGGGCTAGGGGAGGGACAGACAGGAGGCCTTTGTGGAGGGTGTAGGTCTTGCTCTTCAGCTGGATCTTGCTCTTCAGCCAGATTCCTTTATTCCTTACATCTTTACCTTTCCACAGCCTTCTATTTTTTTTTTTAAATGTCCCCTGTACCACCCTAAAGCAACCACATAAGACATTTTTTTTGGATAACTTCCTATTTTAAATATTCTTATCTGAGTCCCGAGGTCTGTCTGGTTTCAGCTCTGGACATGGGGTCATTCTTGAGTGCAGTCTGGAGTTCAATCAGGGCATCTTTATCTCAGCTCCCCCCTCAGGCAGTCACTCCTTCAAGAACGGGCATGAACATCCTCCATCTCCTCGTGTGGAAGTAGGTCTGAGGCTGAGGTTCTAAGCTAGGAGGTGGGGGAGCCATGCCAGTCTGAATAATTGAAGTGAATAAACCATTGGTTTTTATGTAAATCTTTCAGACCACAAGAATGAAATTTCGGAGGTGGATTGATCCATCGGGGCGTTTCATCTCAAACCTGTTATTATCGACTAAATTTTTGTGTCCCTCCCCAAATGTATATGTTGATGCCCTAATCACCAATGTGGCTGTATTTTGAGATGGAGCCTCTAAAGAAGTAATTAAGGTTAAATGAGGTCTTAAGGATGGGTCCCTAACCCAACAGGTTGAGTGTCCTTGTAAAAAGAGATACCAGACAGGTCTCTCTTGCTTCACCATGTGAGGACATGGTAAGAAAGAAGCCAGCTGAATGCCAGGAAGAGAGCTCTCACCAGGAACTGAATCAGTCAAAACCTTGATCTAGGACTTCTAGCCTCCTGAACTGCAAGTAAATGAATTTCTGTTGTTTAGGCCACCCAGTCTGTGGCATTTTGCTATGCCATCCCAAGCAAACTAATATACCCATCCTTTCCCTTCTTGCCCCATGTCAACCCAAGCTCCTCCACAGCCAGAGCTGGATCAGGTCAAGATAAGTCCCTCATCGTACTCACCATGGCTTCTCCCCACCTCCACCACTAGCTTATAACACCTGAAGCAGGGACTGGGTCTCAGCCACTCTCATCATGCCCTAGTGCTGAGCAGGCTCTTCTCCTGCAGTCATGAGTGAGTGCATAGTGATGGTGCATGACTGTAGAGGGTGCAGCAGGGGAGCCCCTGTGCTATTCTTGTTACTTCAACTTTTACTTGTTTAAAATATTTGTGCAAATTTATGGAGTGCATAACATTTTTTTTTACATGTATATAATTTGTAGTGATCAAGTCAGGGTATTTAGGGTGTCCATCCCCTTTTACTTTTAATGCTACATTAAGAAAGCATCTATTCTCAGTGCTAAAACATCACGTGAATTCATTGAGGCAAGGAATGGCTAAGACACCAGAGCAAAACAAAGTGAACACAGATTATTATGTCAAATGTAGAAGACAAAGAACTTTGCATCATCTGCCCCAGCTCAGGCACCTGTCTCCTCGCACTTGGCTGGGATTGGCAGACACTTACTATGGTGGACAGCTTGAGATGCAGGAGGTGGTTGTGGAGTGGGAGGGCCAGGGAGCCAATTTCTTCTCAGAAGGCTGGAAATCCTACATCAGAAGCCTCTGACATTTAACTAGAATGATCTACCCAATCCTTAGCAGGAAGATACTCAAAATATCTGACACCTGGTAAGGTAGTTGTACACAACCCATGCAGCTATATTAGTGCATAACTATGCAGTGAGTTCAACATTATTTCCAATTTTCCCATTTGCTTCAGATACAAAAGCCACATTCATGGGCACAGCTAGATCAGGGCAGTTCAAATCCAGCCTGTGCAATTCATCAAAGGACTATGAGTGCCACCATGCGACTTACCCAGAGAACTAATTCACTCAAGAAGATGGGGGCACAAGACCCAGCTCTAAATCAGATACGTTTAACTAATGCAAATGTTGCTTCTGATTTTAAACCAAATATTGGGGAACCAAAGAAATAATGTCCATAGCAATCCTTGCCAAACACAAATATATGAAACACACAAATTGACATCTTATTTTCATGAATACCTTCTTCACTCCAAGCCTTCAAACATTGCAAGGAATCAGTTTAGAGAGATATAGGGAATACTCCAAATAGAAGGTTTTGTTTATACTCTAGGAGTTATGTAATGTAATGTGAAAAAATTATTTCTAGTAAGTCCTGGCATAAATTGTGTAAGCTGAGAAACAGTGATAAAGGAAGTGGATGTAACTGAATATAAGGATCCAATCCAAATTGTTCAGGCCATATGTAATTCTTGCACATACTGGAGCACATATTTTGAGAGGAAACTTTGGAATTCATCTACACAATATGGCAAAGTAGAATTGCTTGAATTCTGCTACAGGATTTTATATAAAAGTATTCATTTCAGTCACAGTAGTACCTCAGTTATTCAAATGCCATTTATGTAGCAAATGTATTCAGAACCGAGAGAATCTGGAAAAAAAAAAATTGAAGGCCTTGTCATGATTAAAATATGTAAGTCCATGTACTAAATGCCATTCATTTTACTTCCTAGAAGAAATCCACATTACTCAAGATCCATACATAATTTTCTAATAGGTTTGGATATTCGATATTGGAATATGGCAGAGGCTGCTAGTGGTTGACCCGAACAGCCCTTCTTCTATTTTTACTTGGTATCAGAAACTCAATTTTATTCAAGGAACTCATGTACTCAGATAGAAACTACATTACTCAGTGTTCTTAAAACTATAAGTGTGACAAACTTTTGAGCAATGGGATACAAACAGAAATGTTGTTGTAAAGGAAGTCTAGGTTGTACCCCACCAAGGTGGGACCCAGCCCTCTGCATTCCTGCCTTCCTGCCTTCCAATCTGCTGCCCGGAATTCTGGTCTGTTGTCTCTAGGAACCATCTTGACCACATGAGTTACACCCTATGGATATTGCCACAGAGAGCTAAAGGAGCCTGAATGCCTATGAAATTCAAGATGTGCCATACTGGTCTTGTGCTGCATATCTCTGGAATTTGCACAGCGCGTAAATAAGTTTCTTTCTTGTTTTAGTCACTGTTAGTTTATTCTAAATGTTTACCTGTGCATATAAATTTATCCTAATAAATGTGCTCAACGTAAATAAAAACTAGTAAATTGTTAGCTTTCTGGTTACTAGAAACAGATAATATGTGGGAGGAAGGATGTCTGACATCCTTAATAATGAAAGAGACATTAAAAAAAAAACAAAACCCCCAAACAGCCAAACCTATAAATGAGTTTTCATGGAAATACTTTTAAAGGGTAGCATTCTGTTATTCCTATTAAGGCAAATTGTCCTACAAGTCTCTCATAGGCACTGAAGGCATCAATACGTAACAGAAAATCAGAATCACCTGAATTAATGATCATGGCTCGGAGTCATCAAGAAAACAGCAAGTTATATTTGGTTTAAGAGAGTTCATAGAAATAGTTTAAGTCAAAATATCTTAGTTTTTTTAAAAAAATTCCCCTAATGAGCAAACAAAAGGAGCACACTTTCTGGAAATTCTATAATATGAAATAGCACTTTTAAAGTTTTTTAAAGAATTGTGTTTTCACTGTACATATATGGTTTTGTTTGTTTGGACATTGTGCTGATTTTATGTAAACATTATTTTCTTAAAATATTTTTCCATTTTAATAATTTTATTTTGGTCTGCATTCCAATTAGACATACTTTTTTCCCACAAAAAAAATTAAAATGAAATTAAACCAAAATAATAAGAGAACATAAAAATCTCAAATAATAGGCTTGAGCTTTGGAGGCAACAAAACAGTTATGCCTTACTCCTTTTAGTTACTGGAGAGTTTTAGTTCTTTTATTCAAATCGTGTGAAAGTCTCACCTGAGTAAAAGGTTTGCACAGATGAGTGGAGAAAGGGTCAGTTCTTTCTGGCAAGGATCAGAAGTCAGCCTAAAGGCAATCTGATCTTTAAGCCAAACCCAGATACGTGAGAAACCTATGACAAGTGGGAAATCTACTGAGAACTTGCTGGTTTTCTGCCATTCTCCAAACAAGACTAAAGATGGCAGGAGCATAAACAATGGAAGCAAAAGATTAAAGAACAAAAACTTGTGAATAAAATCCCTTCATACTATCTTCATTCATGCAAAACAACAGGAACCCTTCCCTCTAATGCTTTAAGATCTTCCATAAGGTAGATGCCATCACCACCTACTCCCTTGCAATCCTCCAATTTCTAGTATTCTTCAGGTGTCTTATCAATTATCATAATTTTTGCCCACTAAAGTTATTAGCTCCATAAAGCAAAGGACTGTGTCTCTGTCAGTCACAGTTATATATACCCATGACTTGCCTAGCACAGGGCCTGGCAAACAGTATTACACTCATTTGGACATTGGATGGTTAGATAAATGGAAGAAGGAAGGAAGGGAGGGAAGGAGGGAAGGAGGGAGGGAGGGAGGGAGAGAGAAAGGAAAAAAGGAATTTGGAGGAGGGTATGATTAGGCACATAATAGGCAAAGGAAATTTAACCAGAAAGTTATCTTTATCTCTTACTGTCTTCAACCTAACTTTTATTCTCTGAAAACATTGGGGTTCATTGGGAAGAAAAGGAGAGAAAATGTAAAGAGAAAATAGCAGAAAACTGTAATGAGATGTAAATGAAGCTATGGAGAAGGTTGACCAAATTAAGTTCTCTAATCTTCATCCCTACACACACACACACACACACTTCTAATATATATATATAGCTGTCCAACACAGGCCAGACATTGCCCCCTAAGAAGAGTTACTCTGATTAGACTGTGTGAATTAGCTAATAGTCAATAATATGCAAACTTCAGACAAGTCTGACAATAAGCCCACTGAAGGGACTTTCCTGTGTGGTAGGGCAAGGCCCAGAGACCACACTTGAAGTGAATGAATTTGCATTATGCTTCACTTTCCCTCCAACTCTTTAGTGCTCTGCTTGAAGAGTAGTAACAAGTCTACAACCTGGACACGAAAAGCAGAAAAAGGAGGTAAAGAAGCCCAGCTTATCCAGAAACTGAGGAATACTCCTACAAGAACATTGAGTAAACCACAACTTTGCAACTCATTTCCTTAACTAGGAACATAAAGCTCAACAAAAAGCCACAGAAAGATGAACAGAAGAATGATGCAACATGCGATATACATTATGGCTGCTTACCGGTATTTCTTGTTCTCTTCTTCTAGGCTCAATGAGGACTGCTTCCTCCCCCATCTACTGAAGTTAGGTGTGGTCATATGATTTTCCATGTCAATAAAATGTGAGTGGAAGTGACAGGGGTCACTTCCAGGTGAAACATTTAAAAACAAGTGATAGTTTCTCCATGATCCTTTTCCCTTCTGCCACCATGATCGACAGTATTCCAAATCATGGCGCCTTCACCACTCTGGGTCCTGGAGTGAGGATGATATACAGTGGGAGTTAGCTAGCTATAGCCTGTGTTCACCTGTTTTTGTAAATAAAGCTTCATTGGAACATAGCTATACCCATTTGTCTATGCATAATTTGAAATGACAATGGCAAAACTGAGTTGTTACAACAGGGACCATATAGCCTAAAACCCTAAAGTGTTCATTAAGTGGCCTTTTAAGAAAACATTTGCAGACTCCTCATATAGACCCTGATCCTCCCATGCCCACTTAATTCAAGGGGATATGTAGGTTGAAGGGGAAGACAAACCTTTGTTACTCTATACCAACAAAAATTGGGGGCTTTTTGGTTACTCGTATATAACTTAGGTTATTCTGACTGATACAAAACTATTTAAAAATCACTTAATTTGTATGCATGCTATTAATAGAAATATTCTTCAAGAACTAGTAAAAACAACTAGGATAGTACTAAACACAGAGCAAGTACTTGGGTAGTAAGTTTTCCTTTTCTTGGTTCGATATCATCATAGATGAGGAGTGCAGAGCACAGGTGCGATCAGGAATGGGCTATGTGGCAGCTCCCTCAGAATGCATTGCCACTGCTACTATAGCAGTAGCTTTTCAACAATTTTAAAAGAAAAGATATTGACATGACAGTTATTAAGATGGTTCACGCCTGTAATCCCAGCACTTTGGGAGGCCGAGGCGGGTGGATCATGAGGTCAGGAGATGAAGACCATCCTGGCTAACATGGTGAAACCCCACCTCTACTAAAAATACAAAAAATTAGTCGGGCATGGTGGTGGGTGCCTGTCGTCCCAGCTATTCGGGAGGCTGAGGCAGGAGAATGACTTGAACCTGGGAGGCGGAGCTTGCAGTGAGCCGAGATCTCTCCACTGCACTCCAGCCTGGGCGACAGAGTGAGACTCCCTCTCAAAAAAAAAAAAGCAAAGATGGTTAAAAGACATTAGAAGAGGCTGAGTGAAAGCAAACATGGGTCTGTTCCACACAGGGTGGAAATGTCAATTGTCAGAACACGAGGGGCGCAGAGAAAGGAGGCAAAGAGTGATTCTTTTATTATGATTGCTTCTGTGATGCTGAAGCCCAGCTATGCATTTGAAGCAGAGGTGGAAAAAACTGTACTTAACTAGCTTCAGTAATAAAAATGATTTTTGAATCATCATGTAATGATTCGGTAATGAAAATGAAGTTTCGAATGATGTAAATAATTTTTTAAAAAAATTCTGGAAGAAAGCTAAAAAAAATTGCTAAGTGTTTAATAATAATACCAACACTTTAATGCTGTTATAATGTTCCAAGCACTCTTCTGAGCACATGACATATTTTAGCCCTTACTATAATCCTAACCCTATGAATTAGGTATTATCATTTTCCCCAGTTTACTGATAAAGGGGTGAAGCACAGAGAAACTAAGTAGCTGGCCCAAAGTTAGCAATTAAAAGAGGTAGAGTGGGGTTCAAATGCAGGCATTCTGAGTCTAGTGCAATGTCTCTTAACCACCTTTCTCTATTGAATGTTCACAGGTATTACTACTGGACTTGGGACACAGTATGAAGGCAAAGACTCATGGCTAGGCTGCTGTGTTGTCTAAGGTGCTTTTGGCTCTAAGTGTCAGAAAACCCAATTCAAACTGGCTTAAACAATGAGAAAATGTATTATTTCATGGAACAGAAGCCCAGAGGAAGGACAGCTACAAAATTGGTTGAATCAGTGATTTATTGATGTCATAAGGAACCCAGGTTCTTTTTTGCCTTTTGATTTTGTTGTCCACAGCATTGACTTCACCTAAGGCTGGTTGCCCTATGGTCAATAATAGCAAACTGAAGCAAGGGGCACATATGTTCTTCTTTGTTGCTACCCAGCCAGAAAGAGAAATGCTCCTATCCTCTTCCATTCTTTCTGAGCCAAATTAGGTCACATGTTCATGCCTGGAGGGTGGAGGGGAAGGTAACCAGGGCAATGTCACATGTTGCTTGTCTTAGAAAAAAACAAGATTCCTAGAGTTGGAGACGGGGTAAATTTCTCCTGAGTCAATCCTACGGCTAACTAAGGAATTTAATAACTGAATAAAGTCAGCCTTTGGTTAGCAAGGAGGATGAAGTTTGATGAGAAAACAACCGACAGTGTCTACTATACAGCACGTATTCAGCTGAAGCACAATCACATCTGCCAACTTGATTATTTCTGCTACACTTTTCCTGGGGATCCTTCCACAAAGACAATGTATTGAGATGGTAAAATTCATACTCTCCGTTGCATCATGAGTTTCAATCTTAATTCTGAAATCTGTTCATGAGCAAGTTGTTTCAAATCTTGAGAGACTAGATATACAAATGGACAATGGCCAGACCATACATAGAAAATAAAATTCTGACCCACAACCCAAGGAAACCAGTCCAGAAAGTCAGTCTACTATCTACAGTAACCAGTTCAGGAAGTCAGACTACTATGTCTAGCAGGCAGTCCTTGAAATAAACAATAACTCCCATTGGCCCAAAATGGCCAGGGCTTGATTAATAACTGACAACTTCTACATTTTTGCCCCTCACCCACCTTGGCTTCCAACTTAGGACCAACTAGAGAAGGCCGACTACGTACATCTGAACAATCACATAGGATGCCCCACTTCTAGTTATCTCACCTGCAGCTTCCCCATGCCAACAGCCTCCAGTTGGGGTGCACCTGAAGCCTTCCCTTTCTTCTGCTATAAAACTTTCCCACTCCTCTGCCTGCTAGAATCTCTGCCCAGTGCAAGTGATGGTGGCCAACTTCCTCACTGTAGCAAGTTCTCAATAAACAGTCTTTGCTTGTTACCATTTGGGTGATCTTCATTTATCTCCACATTTTCTGAGCTTCAGTTTCCTCATCTGTAAAAGTAGGGATAATAATAATACCAGCTTCTGAGGGATGCTGTAAAGATTAAATGAAATGAGATTATGTATTAAAGCCCCTAGCATGCTAATTGTTATGGACTGAAAATTATCTCTTGAGAAATAATTACTCATTTGACTGGTGGACATATTTATGGGGGGCAAAGAAACTCTGCAGGTATCACCATATGGCATGATTCAGAAAGCAAAGTAAATACTATGTGGTCTAAGCAGAAAGGCCTAGGGTCACACAGCTGTTTTCCTGTGTGAGCAAGGAGCTCTTTTGTACACTTTGCCTGAACTACCCCATAATGAGTGGGTCCTTCACTGGCCTCTCTGTGTGTTGCTTAGGGCAATGAACCTGGCCTGGATTGTGGTAAGTCAAAAATGCAAAGAAACTGTTGACAGCTTCCAGTGCCAGCACTATATCTTGTACATAGTAGGTAGATAGTATGCATTTATTAGGTGACTGACAGAATAAACATATGCTATTTAGCACTGCTAAAAACCTGAGAATATGCCAAGTGTGGTGGCTCACGCCTATAGTGCCAGCTACTTGGGAAGCCAGGGTGGGAGGAATGATTGAGCCCAGAAGTTTGAGGCCAGCCTGGGCAACATAGCAAGACTTTGTCTCTAAAAATTGTTTTTTTAGTTTCAATTAAAAAAAATATTTGAGAATAGATTTGCTATTGCATGTGGAAACTATTTTCCTGTAGTCTAAGAAGCTAAAATTTCAAGGATCTGTGATGGAAACGGGTGCTTTGGTCTTCACAAATATTTCAAACTACAAAAATTAGAATTGATTACTACAACTGAAAAAAGAACAAGAAGAAATATGATTAAAATATAATGAGGAAGAGGAAGGCATGAAGTGGGAGAGAGAGAGAGACAGAATGAGAATGAAATTTTTTTTCCCATGGGAAGCAAGAGGCTGCCATGGGAGACATCAGAGGACAGAATGGGATAAATGTCTTAGGGAGCAGGAGGAGAAAGAGGTGATTCATTCTCTCAAGGTTAATTAAGAACATTTTAAGTGTGTATCTATTTATTTATTTATTGAGATGGAGTCTTGCTCTGTCGCCCAGGCTGGAGTGCAGTGGCACAATCTTGGCTCACTGCAACCTCCACCACTCAGGTTCAAGTGATTCTCCTTGCCTCAGCCTCCCAAGTAGCTGGGTTTACAGGTGCCCACTACCACGCCTGGCTAATTTTTTTGTATTTTTAGTAGAGACGAGGTTTCACTATGTTGGCCAGGCTGGTCTCAAACTCCTGACCTCGTGATCTGCCTGCCTCAGCCTCCCAAAGTGCTGGGATTACAGGCATGAGCCACCGCGCCAGGCCATTTTAAGTGTTTATTGTGTATACCCATCTATGTTGTAGATTATTCTGATTAAAAAGAGTTTAGTATCTAAGAGAAAGGTAAAGGTGGAAAGAGCGAAGGTGAAAGTAACTGTGGTTGGGAGAATTCCAGATTAGAGTCAGTTCATCCTCCAAACACTGCTCCTAATGATCAAAGAATATGAGAAGTCATCTGATCATACTGATTCAGAGAAAATACAGTGAAGTACCTGCCTGATGTAAGGTGAGTCAGGGCTTCTTCTCACGAAAATGATTTATGGGATTCCTCTGGTTCATAATGACCTCTCAGCATGAAAAACCTAAGAGGCATCCCACTCAGCCACCAGTCTGAGCACATGCAAACACATAAGCACCCGGGAGTTGGGGTGGGGGAAATAGTACTTTGAGGTGATAATTGTAGTCTCGGGTGCAATGGTCTGAATGTCATGTCCCTCCAAAATTCATATGTTGACATCCTAACCCCCAATGTGATGGTATTAAGAGGTGAAGCCTGTGGGAGGCGATTAGTTTACAAGAATATAGCCCTCCTGAATGGGATTAGTGCTGTTATCCAAGAGACTCAAGTGCTGTTATCCAAGAGAATGCTGGTTCGTTTACCCCTTCTGCCCTGTGAGGTTACAGCAAAAAGCAGCTGTCTGTGAGCCAGGAAGAGGCCCCTCAGCAGACACCGAGTCTGCTGGTGCCTTGATCTTGGCCTTCTTAGCCTTCAGAGCTTTGAGGAATAAATTTCTGTTGTTTACAAGCCACCCAGTTTATGGTATTTTGTTATAGCAGCCAGAACAGACTAAGACATCTGGCAAACACTGAAAGCTCAAAGACTAAAAATTAGTCTTTGATTATCTGTGGCAGAAGATAGTATGGAATCAAAAGAGCCCTGTTTCATTTAAGTGATAAAACAGCGAGAGACTATTGGGAGGCAGAGACTTCACTACAATCTCCTGCTGCATGCCTTAAATAAGAGTGATTTTTTTAAAAAAAAGCTCAGGCCTGATGTTTCAACAATTGCCAGACAGATGTTTGCTGTAAGGGCCAGGGTCTGCGCTCACTCACTGCTTCTCCATTTGGATCCATTACTAGAATAACTCCACTTCTTCTCTTCTTTCATGACAGTAACTCCTCATTCTCCACCTCTCCGTGTGGCAAAAGGCTATTGACATCCATAAATAGACCCACACAAATATATTTAGCTGATTTTTGATAAAGGTGCAAAGTAATTTAATGGAGGTACCTTCTGAACAAATGCTGCTGGAGCAACTGAACATCTACCGGCACACACACAAGAAGATATTTGACCAAAGTCTTACATTCCACACAAAAATTAACTCAAAATAATGTGCTTCAGTGAGCCAAGATCATGCCACTTCACTCCAGCATGGGCAACAGAGTGAGACCCTCTCTCTAAACAAAACAAAACAACAAACAAAAACTCAGAATGGATCATAGACTTAAATGTAAAACATAAAACTATAGTATTTTTACAGGAAAAACTCATAGTAGAAAGTCTTTGAGACCTAGAACTAGGTGAAGAGATCTTAGACGTGACACCAAAAGCACAATTCATAAAAGGAAGAATCAACAAATTGGACCTAATAAAATGTAAAACTTTCTGCAAAAGTTCATGTAAGAAGATAAAAAGCTATAAACTGGGAAGAAAATACTTGCAAACTGCATATCTTGCAAGGACTGGTATCTATAATAAGAATTCTCAAAATGCAGGACTTAAAAAAACAAACAATCCAGTTAGAAAATTAGACATTTCACCAAAGAGGACATAGAGATAACAAATGAGCATATAAAAAGATACTCAACCTCGCTGGTCACTAGGGAGATACAAATTGAAACCACAGTAATATATCACTACATACCTATCAGAGTGACAATACCCAGTGCTGGGGAAAATGTGGCGACATTGGCTCACTTATACATTGCTGGGAATGTAAAATGATATGGCTACTTTGGAATACAGGTTGGCAGTGTCTCATGAAACTAAATAAGCAACTACCATATAATCCAGCAGCAATTGCAATTCTTGGGTCATTATCCTAGAAAACTGAAAGTGTATGGTTACACAAAAACCCATGTACAAATGTTTGTCACAAGTAAATCAGCTTGACTTGTAATAGCTGTTACTTATAAAAATGGGAATCAACCCAAGTGTCCTTCAACAGGTCAATGATTAAACTGTGATATAAGCATAACATATTAGCACTACTAAACAGCAAAAAGAAACAGACCCTTGAGATATCTAAAACAACCTGAATGAATCTCCAGGGATGTATGCTGAGTGGAAAAAGTCAATCCCCAAAGGCTACATACGGCATTATTCCATTTATGTAACATTTTTGAAATGACAAAACTTCAGAAGTAAAGAACAGATTAGTAGTCGCCAGGGATTAGAGACTGGGGGAGTAACACAAGAGAGGTGGAAGTGGTTATAAAAGGGTAACATAAGGGACCCTTTTGGTGTTGGAACTGTTCAGGTCTTGGCTGTGGTGGTCACCAACCTATACAGGTGATAAAATTGTATACAACTTAATACACACGTGCTCACATGCAAATGAATACAGGAAAACTGGGAAAATCTGAATAAGATGAGTAGATTCTATCAATGTCAATATTTTGGTTGTGATATGATATAAAGACTACAGTTTAACAAAATGTTACCATGGGAGGAAACTGGATAAAGTGTACTAAAGATCTCTCTGCCTCATTTCATACAACTTCGTGTAACTCCATAATTTTAACAATTTAATTAGATATTTTTTATAATTAGTTATATACAATTATATTACATTTTGGATATTACATAATTATATCCAAAATATGTAAAATTATCTATATAAATATAAACATTGTATATACAATATATGTATAACATTTATTTACATATATAGTTTGATGGAGTTATGGTTTAATGGAGTAATAACCAAATCAACAACACACGTCAGTCAACTAAACCAGCCTCTCTTAAGGGTAATTCCGACCATTCTAGATATTCAGGATTTGTGTTGTTTTTTGTTTTGTTTTGTTTTGTTTTGAGACAAAGTCTCACTGTGTTGCCCAGGGTGGAGTACAGTAGTGTGTGATCTGGGTTCAATGCAACCTCTGGCTTCCGTGTTCAAGCTATTCTCCTGCCTCGGTCTCCCGAGCATCTGGGATTACAGGTGTACACCACCACGCCCGGCTAATTTTTTGTGTTTTTAGTAGAAACGGGGTTTCACCATATTGACCACGCTGGTCTCAAACTCCTGACCTCAAGTGATCCGCCCACCTCAGGCCTCCCAAAGTGCTGGGATTACAGGCGTGAGCCACCACGCCTGGCCCATTCTAGCTATTTCAATGCTTACTCTCAGGCTGTGTGTTCATGGCATACCAAAAGAAACCTTTTGTTTTCTTCTAAAAAAATTTTTGTTTTTATCATAAAAGAGATATTAAATGGTAGATCTGAAAATATGTAGAAATCGAAATAAGTAAACTAAAACAAAGATCACTCTAATTCCATCAGCTAATGATAATTTGAATAGTATGCTTTAAGAGGTGTGCCGTTATTTATTTTTAGCCATTTTTGTATTATAGTTAATGCACCC